AGCAGATTTTTGAAAAATGGCTTCCTTTGGCAGCCATCTTGGATTTAGTAAAAAGTGGAATTACGCTATAACTTATGAACAATTTGCCAGATTTAAACAAAACTTGGCATACAACATCCGCTCAATGAGATGATTATGTGTTCAGGGAAATATTTCCCATGATTCAAGTGGTTTTGGCGGCCATGTTGAATTTATCACAAAAATTCAAAAAACCTCAAAAAAATATCTTGTTAAAAACTGCTTGCTTGTTTGAAAAGCAATTTAGCTTATAGTATCTCTGTTGATAGCTCTACAAAGTTACTGAAGTAGATTTTTAAAAATGGCTTCCTTTGGCAGCCATCCTTGGATTTAGTAAAAGAGAAAAAGTTCGATAACTCATGAACTATTTGTCCTTGCATTAAGTTTATCATATTCCTGTGAAATCAAATCCATATGTTGTGTAGTTTGTCTGCTATCTTGCATTCTAGACATGAAACGTTCGTCAAATAATCACATCGAGCAAGTGCAATTTGTCATGAGCCACGCAGGCTCGAAACCCGTCATCGCTGCTATGCAGCTATATTTCTAATTAATATTAATGACGTAGTTCAATATCCAGTCGGCAAGTGCTTTATTTTGAATAAGTAAATTTTTGCAGTTGTTATGACACTTGAAGGCATGTGCTCGCATTGTAGTTAATGTTGAGCTCTTGAGCCAATGAAAGTTAAATCTTTTGACTATAAGTTGTGGATGTCTATGCAGTGTTTTATCTTATGCACACATGTTGTCTGGGCCTAATTTGTTTCTAGGGGTTTTCTGATGACAGATTAAAGAAATCCAATGAACTTTTGCAAGGTATCAAATTATTAAAACTCTATGGCTGGGAAGACATATATTGCAAAGCTATTGAGACTGCTCGTTCCAAGGAAGTACGTCAAATGTTGAAAGCTGGCATGTACATGGTGGCCACAAGTAAGTAATTAATGATATGAAATACATTGTACGTCATGAAATCTCAAAACTTTGAGGTAATATTTTGTTATTTTTGTTTGTTTTCAGTGCTCATCACACAAGCCACTCCTATTATTGTCACACTTGTGGTAAGTTTGCTATGTTACTCTGTAGATTTACAAATTTTATATGTATTTCATGTGTATTTGAACAGGATTCATGAACATTTTTTTTAATGAACCACACTGAACAAGTGTGTCTGGTCGTAGAGAAAATATTACATTGCAATATTGTAAACAGCAATTGAATTTCTCTTCAATTTTTTTCAGCATGATGTGAGTGCTATTATAACTTTTCCTTTCATACAGCTAGCTAGCTATGCCAGATGTTCTGCGAAGGATTTTAGTCAAAGCTGATGGCTAATTTGCATAGTAATTAGCATATAATTTACATAATGTATTCATTCTAGTACCACTTTGTTCCATTTTTCACAAATTGCTTAATATACTGTTTGTATACTGTATACCTGTATTTTCAGTGTATTCCCTGCCATTGCCTTTGATTGTCATTACCAACAAAATTTTACTAATTTTCTGTTAATGATGAGTACTTTCCTTGTCAATTTTCTTTCAGTCTTTCGGCGTGTACTCGATTGTAAGTCCAACCCCGCTGACACCAGAGATTGCGTTCTCGTCATTAGCGTTGTTCAACCAGATGATGATTCCATTGTTTTTACTTCCAATGATAATTGGACAGACTGTCAATGCGTATGTCAGCACCAACAGACTGCAGAATTTCTTTATTGCTCCTGAGATTGAAGACATTGAGGATGGTAGAGTACCGTTAACTAAAGGATCTAGTGCTGATTATCGCCAACTTGACAATGACAATGAAAATATTGAACCATCTGATAATATGGTAATAATTTATATTAATGGGGTCTGAAAATGAGTTATAATTTACACAAAACTGACAATTTTACAATCGGATTTGTGCCAGAGTAAGTTTTTACAACTCAGGCTTACTACGGAGGTTGTAATGCAGTTATGGTCCTGGTTATACAAAGAAGAATTTTTTGTATCATATTTGCCCTATCACATTGCATCCTTAATCAAAGCGCATCTCCAATAGAAGTGCATATAAACCAAAAATCACATTTGCTATATATTGAAAATATATAATTTGCGATTTGAGTTCCGATTTTTTAAAATATTAATTTTGACCATCATCAATAAATCTGTTGCAGGGCACCACAAATATTTACTTCTTATAGTGTGCAATGTGTTAACCTTTAGATTTCAAAGGACATGACGACTGTGGAATATCTTATCCTGAATAATTCTGACTTTTATGTTTAAATTAAGAAGACAATATTTTTCAACAGTTTGAGAGGTGTAAAATGTTCATTAATATTTGCTTTAATTGCACATTTAAATTTTAAAAAAACATTTAAAATTTAAAAAAGAATCTTATTGACATATGAAAATTTGTGCTTACAACTGGTTTTTAATCCGTGTCGAAAACGTGCACAGAATGGTCGTTTTGTGCACGTTTTCGACACGGCTTATCAGCTACCTCAAGTGCCAAATCCATGAAATAAACAACCAATGTCAATAGAGTAGCCTAGGTGTTAAAAATGGATTAAGTACTGGCAAACCAACTTCTGCATAGGTATGTTTCTAAACGCTTGCTTTTTAGCTGATTTAGTCATCATTTTTGAACTCAAGAAGCCCGCAAAACCTAATATTACATGTGAGAACGAAACAAATCCGTCGAGATTTCACGTTTTCCCGTAAAAGGGATGCTGGCTGTTCCCTCTCTGGACTCCCTCCCCGCGTATACTAGTAACTGGTAACTAACCATGGATTAGTACCTTCCATGGTACTACCAACTCTAACCAT